AAGCAGGGACAGTTCAAGTTCAAAATCTTCCTCAGAAATCGGTTAATGTCCAGGAAACGTGCAGCATCCGACTCAGGAAATTATGAAAAAAAATAGAAAATAGAAAGAAAACAAGAAAGGACAGAAAAAAGGGGAAAAAGAAAAGACCCAGCCTTGCAAAAGACAAAGCCAAAAAAATACAATTAGACATTCCTTTCAAAAATATACATCCTAATATACAGCAGTTAATCCGTAAATAAACATTCAACATTTAACTTAATTTTCATCTAACATGAACACATTGAATTTGCATATATGTGCAAAGAGCATTTTTTAAATGAAAATGCCTCAGGCCTCATCTGCCCGCATGACGTGACACACAATCAGCCGTTAGCTCATAGCTCGAATACACGACAAAAACCATCAAAATAACATTTGTAAACTGCTCAAAGTAACTTTTAACTACGAAACATTAGTTAGTTAGCACATTCACACAATATTCTTCCCATTTTAAACCAGAAGATAAACGTTTATGCATCTTTTACATACAACTGAATATAATACAACAGCAGTTAATGGTTAAACACTAACTTTATACACTTCCTTTATTCTCTTTACAGATATTAACAAAATAGAATACTGTTTTGCACAATCATGAATGTTGTAGTTTTTTTTTTCCAGCAACAGGGTTTCTAGTAATCTGGGTTACATGAACATTAAATAAATGTATGTAATAAATGTAAAATTGTAATGTGGTGTTTTGTTTCATGTTCATGTTTTCCATGTCTTTTATTTTGTAATTGTTTCATGGTCCCTGTTTGTGTCATGCTTCCCTCGTCCTCATGTATTCATGCCATTGGTTCCCCTGGGCATTGTGCCATGTTCTGATTGGTTGTCTTAGTCATGTGTCTAGTTTCCCATTGGTTTGTTCTTGTCATGTGACCCTCTTGTTTCCTATAAGTAGCTTCATGTTCCCATTGTTCCCTTGTCGTGTATTGAATGTATTTAACCCACTGTTGGTGAGTCAAGCTGAGTCCCCGGCCAAGATGGCCGCCACGGCTGAGTCCCCGGCCAAGATGGCCGCCACGGCTGAGTCCCCGGCCAAGATGGCCGCCACGGCTGAGTCCCCGGCCAAGATGGCCGCTACGGCCGAGTCCCCGGCCAAGATGGGTGCCATGTCTGAGCCTCTCCACGTCACGACTATCCCCAAGATTTCCCCTAAGGATTTTTTTGGGGGGGGCTATAGTATCCAAGCTCCTGCGAATGCAGAGTTTGGGCCAAGACTGAAAAGACTAATTGCTAGTGTGATGGACCCACCTCTGATGTCAGTGCGAGCTGCAGGCATGTGGTGACGTCAGTGCTCTCAAGCCACGCTGTCTTAGAGGTCATGCCACACTCTGCTGCCCTTCTTGTAATGGCGGTCGCCATTTTGAGCGTGTGGGCTGCACACTGCACTCCTGAGTCCTCTCCTGTCCACGAGTCTTGTCCCTGAGGCCTTTCCTGTGCATGAATCCGCTGCAGAACCTCTAGAGGTGGCGGCATCCACTGCAGAACCTCCTGAGGTGGTGGCGTCCGCTTCCGAATTCACTGCCTGCCCTGTCATGGCCACAGAGGCCGTTCACGAACTCACAGACTGTCTTGCCAAGGAGGCCGTTCACAAACTCACTGTCTGCCCTGTTACGGCCACGGAGGCCGTT